ATTGTACAGCTGAGAAAGCACTTGTTCATGACTCACCATCCCTTCCCCCAAAGGTGTTGAGGTCCGACCCTTGCATGGGAAAGGACTTGGAAACTTCTCAGTCTATGATGCTAAATGGACAGCGTGTTAGTGTCATTCTCCTGGGTTTCTTCTGGAGTGGGGGAGTGGAGTGGGTTGGAGAAACAACTAAGACAATGCTAAGCTATGGTGATTGTTACCAGAAGGCATTCCCAGCCTTCAGATCTATCACTGACAAAGCTAAAGCTCCATTTCGCTTGCCGCAAAACATTCTGTTTCCCATGCTCCAGCCCTTTAAAGTTTGCCCATTTCCCCTACACAGTTTATACATGCTTCTTGGACTTCTTTCATATTACACATCTGGGCTCAAGCAAGGTCAACATTTTAAAACATAAAGGTCCTTTTCTCACATGCAGGACACAAAAGTCTTTTGTAGCTGCCTTTCCTGTTTCCTGTCTATAATTAGAAAATACATTCATAATACATCCACCCACACACATACATACATACACACACAGATATACATTTCCAGTCTGCATCTCTCAAGCGCTCAACTAACAGAATCACATCTGAACTGCTTTGGTTCTGAGGGAAAGTCAATCTCAGACAAGAATCAACATTTTCTGCCTTTTCTCTTCTAGGACTTTAATTCCACGTTTGCTATAACTATTTGTATTAGATAACCCATTGGCAGATCCTACAATCTGTGTCTTACTTCATAAATCTATGGCCTAAATCGTATTAGTTCACAGTTGGCAAGCACATTTTCTCCTGGAATGCACAACAGTAGTGCAAGAAAGAAGGCAAAAACCACGCAATCTTTTTTCCCTTCCTTTGCGGCCACTGTGTCTAGGACTTTTTACCCTCAGCCACTGGTGTACTGGACCGACAACTATACTATCATCCACCATGTTTGTATTAAACACTTATAATGAAGAGTGGGAGGATGCCCAATGGATTCAAGGGGTCCAATTTTCTGTAATCGCCAGCTGTTGCATCCACTGTCTTCAGGATCTCTTCCAAAGACTTAAATCTATTTTGGGAACAGAGAAACTTTGGAACTGAAGACATTTGGGCCTCCAACTCGCAGAAGCCGAGCCAAGAATGTGCATCAGGAAAGGCCTGTGATAGTTGTAGGTCAAAGCAACTTCAGGGTCAAAATTTCTCTACACCAAATTACGTGATCTGGGAGAATTTTTTAAAAATGCCTCCTAACGTAAAGTAAATTTGAAGTCATCCTATAAACTTGCACATTCTAATCCAATTTCAGACACCAACAGTAGAATCTCTTTCTCTCACTCCTCTTGACCGATCCCAGGGCACGATTGAGATGACACAAGGGAGAAGGACAAACAGAGCAATGTAGGCCACTATGGACACTCTGGACTAAAACCAGGAAATAAAGAAATAATAATAATAATACTTTATTTATACCTGCTCTATCTCTCCAGAGGGACTCAGCTGAAATCATTTCCAAACCTGAACTGGTGTGCCAATCAGGAACCATTATTTAAATAAATTGCACCAATTTTTGAGCAGCTTCCTAGAACTTCATTCTTAGCCCAGAGACACAAACTCAATGCCAGCAAAAAGATAAGCGAGGGCAAGCGATAGTCCTAAATGATTCATTGCATCCCTTATCTTGGTGGAGTTTGGACTCAACTCAGAAGAAAATATGTGACAAAGAACCAAAAACTCAAGAAGCATTTCTAGAAGATGCCCATGTTTGCCAGTTGTTGATAACTAAAACCAAAATATGACAGAATTTCCCTGTGCGAGGCAGCTGTTGAAGCATTTCGACTCACTTCAAGTTTTTGCTGTTTTGTGCCCTGAATCCTCCCTTGTTCCAATGTCTCCCCCATCCAGGCTCTTTGCCACTGTCGCAAAACTATAAACGTCAACTTGGGACTTTTCAAGGATTCATGACCCTGGCAAAAGGACATATTCGGCAGCTTTATGGGAGAGATACCACATTCTTGGGCAGCAAAACTGAAGACCATGCCATTCTTAGCTATAATTAATGGCAGAGAATGAATGGAAGATAAGAGCTTAGACAACAAGTCTCCCCAGTTACCACAATATGAGGACAAGGGACGTTTAATTTAAATAAAGAGCAGCAAATTTGGTACAAATTGGAGGAAGTATTTCTGCATGGATTATAGAAAGCAGTGCTGTACTATTAAGCAGCCCCCTTGGAGCAAACAGTAAGGATGATCTTTAGACGAACTGTAACCATATAACGGATTCAAAACCTTGACTTTAAAATATACAGCAGGAGAATACATTCATTTCCCAATACTACCAGACTATAACTCCCATCTGCACAGTAAATAGTGAGAAATGATGGACATTCCAGTCCAATAATATCCTGAGAACTGCAAGTGACTGATATCAGTTCCTTGTTTGTAAGGAAATTAATCATCCAAACCTCTAGCTTTTGTTTCCAGCATGAAAAAGTACACTGAAACAATTTGGACAAAGCCAATTATAAGTTATCTATTACTAAAAATATAAACTGAACTATGTGTACATTTTATATTTTACTGTAACTAACATATCAATTGATTACAATTAAAAAAATTCTAAAATCAGGATGGTAAATAAAGAGCACCGCTCAAAAACAGGGGAATTCCAGACAAGAATAAATTAGGGCCAGCTAACACATCCCAACAAAGGATCCCCCCCAGGCAGCAACCCACCAAACTTTGAAGCTACAAAACCATTAAATGCTAATCAAGGTGACCAATTGAAACATTTGCTTCAAGCAGGCAAGAGTTCTTTCTCCCACCCTGGACATTCCACAGATATATAAACCTCACTTTCCTAGTTTCCAACAGTCCTCACAATCTCTAAGAATGCCTGCCATGATGTGGGTGAAACACCAGGAGAGAATGCTTCTAGAACATGCCATACAGTTCGGAAAACTCACTGCAACCCAACATATCAGTAATCATTTAACATAGGATTTCCTCATATTTGACGTAAAGTTAAATACTGAGCAAGGAAATCACCACCCCTAATTTATTCAACAGTAGAACTCAGTCACACATTATATTTATGTAGATTAATTTGAATGCTAAATGTGATTCATTACTGCATACATCTTCAAATCTTCAAATGAGTATGGACAAAACTGTTTTATAACTGATACAGTCTTTGTCTCTTCCATTAAAAAATGTACAATACAGTTGATTTCAGCAACATTCTACATACTGAGATGTTAAAAGAAAAAGATGAGCCAAAGCAGGTACTCTATAAAATAATGTTGAATTCTGAAACCATTGAGCACATCACCTGCTGAAAAAGTTCATTAAGGTAAAAGGCAAAAGTATGATAGCTGGGACCCTATGCTAGTTGCGCAACGCGGGTCAGAATTACTGAAGGGAACACGTGTGCGAGACAGCGGAGTGAGTTAGAGACACAGCTGCGACAGGATAGTAGTGAAGTAATTTAACTCAGGAGGGACAGAATAAGGGTGAGGTGATGTAACAGTATTTCCCCCCTCCTATATATCCTTCCTTCCACTGCAACGACTCCACTGCAGCTGCATCTCTCACTCGGTGCGCTCACTCGTACCTGTTCCCCTAATTCAGATCCGCGTTGCGCAAGCAGCGTAGCATAGGGTCCCAGCTATCATACTATTGCCAAAGTAAAGGTTTCCCCTGACATTAAATCTAGTTGTGTCCAGCTCTGCGGGGTGGTGCCCATTTCTAAGCCGAAAAGCCAGCATTGTCCATAGACACCTCCAAGGTAATGTGGCCAGCATGACTACACAGAGCGCTGTTATCTTCCCACTGAAGTGATACTTATCAATCTACTCACACTTGCATGTTTTTGAACTGCTGGGTTGGCAGAAGTTGGGGCTAACAGCAGGAGCTCACCCCACTCCCTGGATTCAAAAAGCCAACCTTTCAGTCAGCAAGTTCGGCAGCTCAGCAGTTTAACCCGCTGTGCCAGCAATGCAGATGCATTCAATAACTAGAAAACTCATTCTACTTCTCTGAGCAGTGAGAAATGTCAAGAAGTCATTCAGAGCACTGAAAACCTTTGGATGAGTCCCAATAGCTTTGGGGGGCTTCGTGCTTTGTAAGCATGTTTATACTTTTCCTTCTGCTATGTACAGAAACAGTCTAGAAGACAGTATTACCAGCCTAAATACCCAAAAGATCGCAGGTTCGAATCCAGGTAGCAGCCTGAGCTCCCACTGTTAGCCTCAGCTTCTGCCAACCTAGCAGTTCAAAAACATGTAAGTGTGATTAGATCAATAGCTACCACTTCAGGTAAATGGTGCTCCATGCAGTCATGCCGGCCACATGACCTTGGAGGTGTCTACGGACAACGCCGTCTCTTCGGCTTAGAAATGGAGATGAGCACTACCCCCCAGAGTCAGACATAACCTTTACCTTAAATACCCAAAGGTCTTAAGCTGGGCCAACACAGATGTGATTTACAATTCCCAGCATACATGGGGTGCAATGGAGTTATAACAGGCATGGGCAAACTTTGGCCTTCCAGGTGTTTTGGACTTCAACTCTCACAATTTCTAACAGCTGGTAGGCTGTTAGGAATTATGGGAGTTGAAGTCCAAAACACCTGGAAAGCCAAAGTTTGTCCATGCCTGAGACAACTTCTCACAGACCAGAGCTCATATTTATTCCTCCCCACTCCCCAGGGTGCATCTACACTGCAGTTTGACACCACTTTAACTACTATGGGAACCCTGAGAGTTGTAGTTTTCCAAGGCCCTTAGCCATCACTGCAAAGGAGGGCTGGTGCTCCAGCAAACGAAACATCCCAGGATCCCATAGCACTGAGCCATGGGGGTTAAAGCTGCATTCCTTCTGCACGCCTTGTTTCTTCTCTTTCCCCAGCAAAAGGGGATCCTGCTGCAAATCCCCTCCCTGCCTCCCCTCCACCCAGTGCAGAGAATTTTGCAGAGGCAGAAATGGAACATTCCGGCGCCAAAACATTCTTTTAAAAACCTTGTTCTTTGGCTGCAAGATGTGCACGAGGGACCAGAGGCCACGCGCCTGCTCTTCCTTCCGGCGGCGAAGAAGGGAAGAGGCGGAGTGGAGCCGGAGTCAAGGATTCTCTTGGCGATGCTGCCACCCATAGGGCGCAAAGGGGTACTGCAAGCCAAGTCAATTGTGGAAGTGGCTGCCCTGGCCATTAAAAAACAAACTCAAGGATCCACCTTGTGGTGATAGTAGGATTGCCTGCTAATGGTCTCTTAGGGCCCTTCTTCCTTACAGCCAAATAACACAGAATAGTAAGGCAGATAACCCACAATGTCTGCTTTGAACTGGAGTATGTGAGCCCACACTGCCATATAATCCAGTTCAATGTAGATTTTATATAGCTGTGTGGAAGGGACCTTAGACTCTCCCTTAACTGGAAAGCTCAAGCAACAGGCAAAAAAATTAACACATACTGTGTTGTCGAAGGCTTTCATGGCCGGGATCACTGGGGACCCTTCCACACAGCCTTATAACCCAGAATATCAAGGCAGAAAATCCCACATTATCTGAGTGGACATAGGTAACCCAGCACAAAGCAGATATTGTGAGATTTTCTGCCTAGCTATTCTTGGATATGGAATATGGAAGGGTCCTGGGTTGCTGTGAGTTTTCCTGGCTGTATGGCCATGTTCCAGAAGCATTCTCTCCAGACATTTCGCCCACATCTATGGCAGGCATTCTCAGAGTTTGTGAGGTCTATTGGAAACTAGGCAAGTGGGGTTTATATATCTATGGAATAATGCCCAAAGTGGGACAAAGATCTCTTATCTGCTTGAGGCAAGTGTGAATGTTGCAATTAGCCACCTTTATTAGCATTGAATTGGTGCTACAGAATGTCCTTGCAGTTTGAAAGCCTGGCTGGTTGCTGCCTAGGGGAATCCTTTGTTGGGAGGTGTTAGCTGGCCCTGATTGATTCTTGTCTGGAATTCCCTTGCTTCTTCGGTGTTCCTCTTTATATAAATAAAAATGTAATATTTGTTTATGGGATTAACATAACTCAAAAACTACTGGACGAATTGACACTAAATTTGGACAAAAGACACCTATCAGGCCAACGAGTGACCATCACACATAAAAACACTGAAAAACACAGCAGAATGGACGCAAAAAGCCAAAAAACAAAAATTACATTACAATGCATGCGCAAAAATATATATATACACACGCAAATACACATATACACATCTACACAAATATATACACACACATATATACACACAAAACACATATACACAGACTGGGCCACAGCAACGCGTGGCAGGGGACCGCTAGTATTATTTAAGAACACCAAAATGCTGGACCTCTCTAACAATGGCCATGTCAGACTACACATAGCCATATACTCAGCCATAGCAGAGCACCCGATGAACCAACCTGGACACAGCATATTATTTGAGAACACAGAAATGCTGGACCACTCCAACAACCACCATGTCAGACTACACAGAGAAGCCATTGAAATCCACAAGCATGTGGACATTTTCAACAGAAAGGAGGAAACCATGAAAATGAACAATACCAATCTACCAGTATTAAAAACTCCAAAATTAGGACAGTAAATAAAGAACAACCCTCAGAAAACAGGGGAATTCCAGACAGGAAACAATTCTACAGTGTAGATGACTGCTCCAGTGATGCTACTTTAAAAAAAATATTCAAGTGTACAAACAAAAGAAAGAACCTACTTATGAAATACAACAACCCAAAATGAAATTAATAGTTTAATGAGAAACAAAGCAAGAATCTATATCATAGAGAACATAAACAATTTTTCATTACAGTAGAGTCTTGCTTATCCAACCTTTGCTCATCCAGCATTCTGTATTATCCAACACAGTTTGCCTCCCGCCCGGATCCACGGCCATTTCAATACATTGTGATGTTTTGGTGCTAAATTCGTAAATACAGTAATTACTACATAATATTACCGTGTTTTGAACTGCTTTTTCTGTCGATTTGTTGAAAACATGATATTTTGGTGTTTAATTTGTAAAATCATAACGTAATTTGTTGTTTATTAGGCTTTTCCTTAAAAAGGGCCTAAAGTGAGGGCCTTGTTGCCTTCCAAATGACATCCATAGAATCACAGAATCATAGAATCAAAGAGTTGGAAGAGACCTCATGGGCCATCGCGTCCAACCCAGTGCCAAGAAGCAGGAATATTGCATTCAAATCACCCCTGACAGATGGCCATCCAGCCTCTGTTTAAAAGCTTCCAAAGAAGGAGCCTCCACCACACTCCGGGGCAGAGAGTTCCACTGCTGAACGGCTCTCACAGTCAGGAAGTTCTTCCTAATGTTCAGATGGAATCTCCTCTCTTGTAGTTTGAAGCCATTGTTCCACGTCCTAGTCTCCAAGGAAGCAGAAAACAAGCTTGCTCCCTCCTCCCTGTGGCTTCCTCTCACATATTTATACATGGCTATCATATCTCCTCTCAGCCTTCTCTTCTTCAGGCTAAACATGCCCAGTTCCCTAAGCCGCTCCTCATAGGGCTTGTTCTCCAGCCCCTTGATCATTTTAGGCGCCCTCCTCTGGACACATTCCAGCTTGTCAATATCTCTCTTCAATTGTGGTGCCCAGAATTGGACACAATATTCCAGGTGTGGTCTAACCAGAGCAGAATAGAAGGGTAGCATACTTCCCTAGATCTAGACACTAGCTCCTATTGATGCAGGCCAAAATCCCATTGGCTTTTTTTGCCCCCATGACATTGTTGGCTCATGTTTAACTTGTTGTCCACGAGGACTCCAAGATCTTTTTCACACATACTGCTCTCGAGCCAGGCGTCCCATTCTGTATCTTTGCATTTCATTTTTTCTGCCAAAGTGGAGTATCTTGCATTTGTCACTGTTGAACTTCATTTTGTTAGTTTTGGCCCATCTCTCTAATCTGTCAAGATCGTTTTGAATGCTGCTCCTGTCCTCTGGAGTATTGGCTATCCCTCCCAATTTGGTGTCGTCTGCAAACTTGATGATCATGCCTTCTAGCCCTTCATCTAAGTCATTAATAAAGATGTTGAACAGGACCGGGCCCAGGACGGAACCCTGCGGCACTCCACTTGTCACTTCTTTCCAGGATGAAGAGGAAGCATTGTGAGCACCCTCTGGTTCGTCCATTTAACCAATTACAGATCCACCTCACCGTAGTTTTGCCTAGCCCACATTGGACTAGTTTCCTTGCCAGAAGGTCATGGGGGACCTTGTCGAAGGCCTTACTGAAATCCAGGTACGTTACATCCACGGCATTCCCCGCATCTACCCAGCTTGTAGCTCTATCGAAGAGATCAGATTAGTCTGGCATGACTTGTTTTTGATAAATCCATGTTGACTATTAGCGATGACTGCATTTGTTTCTAAGTGTTTGCAGACCACTTCCTTAACAATCTTTTCCAGAATCTTGCCTGGTATTGACGTGAGGCTGACCGGACGGTAGTTGTTTGGGTCATCCTTTTTTCCTTTCTTGAAGATTGGGACCACATTGGCCCTCCTCCAATCTGCTGGAACTTCTCGTGTTCTCCAAGAACTCTCAAAGATGGTTGCTAATGGTTCCGAAATGACTTCCACTAGTTCCTTCAATACTCTTGGGTGTAGTTGATCTGGCCCTGGGGACTTGAACTCATTTAGAGCGGCCAGGTATTCCTGGACGACTTGTTTCCCAATTTGGGGTTGGATGTCCTCCAATCCCTCATCCACTCCATCTTGCTGAGGTTGAAGACTCTGTTTTTGTGAGAAGACCGAGGCAAAGAAGGCATTAAGTAGTTCTGCCTTTTCCCTATCCCTGTCAGCATTGCCCCATCTTCTCCTCGAAGAGGTCCTATCGCCTCCTTGTTTTTCCTTTTTCTACTGACATAAGAATAGAAGCCCTTTTTATTGTTTTTAATGTCCCTGGCAAGTCTGAGCTCGTTTTTTGCTTTAGCCTTGCGGACCTTTTCCCTACAGGTGTTGGCTATTTGTTTGAATTCTTCTTTGGTGATTTCTCCCTTTCTCACCAGCCTGTTTATGTTGGATAAATGAGACTCTACTGCATATACAAAAGTAACTAACATACCTTTATCAACAGCATACAACCTGGACATATTTTAAACAAACATACTAAGCTTGTCTACAAACCTACTATGCATTGCCTGCTGATTTTCACCTTATTTGTTCGTCCCTTTAAGTATCACTTTCTTTCTGCTTTTCTACTTTAATAACACTTCTTTGCTGTATAAAAGAAAGACAAATGTCCCAGTGTTTCCTGAATTCAGTCAAGGAGTTCTCCTTAATCAACATTGTCAATTTGTCCAGCTCCGTTGCTATATCTAGTTCTTTCCACCTCTGGGCATTCTCGCTGCTGTAATGATATAAAATAATAATCTTTTATTTTTCTTTTCTAATTGATCATCCAGCGTCCCTAACAAATACAGTTCAGGTTTCTTTGTAATTTCTACCTTTACAATATATTCTAGCATCATATGTATCTAAGGGCTCTTCCATACAGCCATCTAACCCAGAATATCAAGGTAGATAATCCACAATATCTGCTTTGAACTGGGTTATCTGAGTCCACACTGCCATATAATCCAGTTCAATATGGATTTTATTCAGCTGTGTGGAAGGGGCTTGAGTCCAATATTTCTGGGTCTTTTTACAAGACCACCACGCATGATAAAATATCTCAACTTTTTCTTGCATTTCCAAGAATTATTGGATCTAATTTTGTTGCTACAAAGTCCTCATCACAGTTGCTCCTAGTTTGTCATTCAAACACATACACACACACACAAAACCCTTTTGTTGGCATATTGCAAATTAAAGCTTGGCTAAAAACATTGCACCCAGATTATGGTGAACTGGAGGGGCTCTTCATTCTCACTTATTTAAGGAGACGGAATACAGGATCTTAATGTAACCTAATTGTGTCTTGAGTTCAGCCTCCAGACATCAGAGATGGAAAAAAGCCTATACCTCTGTTTATGTATTGTTTGTCCTGTCAATTGTATAACGACATTGAATGTTTGCCTATATATGTTTTGTATAAAGTTTGTATGCTGCTCGGAGTCCCCTGTGGAGTAAGAA